TAATGAGTATGTACCCAAAGGATTACAAATCATTCTATTATAAAGACACATGCACATGTATGTTTACTGCAACACTGTTCACAATAGCAAAGACTTGGAACCAACCCAAATGCCCATCAAAGACAGGCTAGATAAAGAAAATGTGGCACATATACACCATGGAATACTATGCAGCCATAAAAAAAGATGATTTTATGCCCTTTGCAGGAACATGGATAAAGTTGGAAACCATCATTCTCAGCAACCTGATACAACAGAAAACCAAACACTGCATGTTCTCAATCATAACTGCGTGTTGAACAATGAGAACACATGGACATAGGGAGGGAATATCACATACCAGGGCCTATTCGGGGTTGGGAGACTAGGGAAGGGATGGCAGGGGATGGTGGGATAGGGGAGTGACAGCATTGGGAGGAATACCTAATATAGATGATGGGGTAAAGGAAGCAGTAAACCACCATAGTACGTGTATACCTATGTAACCAGCCTGCACATTCTGCACATGTACCCCAGAACTTCAAGTATTAAAAAAAAGTAGTGCCTGGTACGTAAGCATTTTCTCTTTTTACTAAATAATTATGATTATTTTTAGAAAGAGTGGCTTTTATTAATATTAATCCTTGGCTTTTGTGATGCAGCTGAGGTGTTTATCATAAAATGCCAATACTTTGAATCAGTCTTGGAGGCATGGCAGCCAGTGAAAAGAATGTGAAGAGGGCTCTGGTATCTGAGAGACATGAGTATGAATCTCATGTCTGTTCAGTTTTAATGGCAACAGCAAGATCTTGTACAGGTTAATGCTTTTTTTTTTTTCAAAAGTCTCAGTGACCTCTCCACAAAATACGTATTTTGTAGAGCTATTTAAGGAATAAATGAAGCAGTATAAATAGAAAGCCTCTGGGACAGGTCGGGTGCAGTGGCTCACACTTGTAATCCCAGCACTTTTGGAGGCTGAGGCAGGTGGATCACCTGAGGTCTGCCTGGCCAACATGGTGAAACCTCATCCCTACTATAAATACAAAAATATTAGCTGTGCATGGTGATAGACGCCTGTAATCACCGCTACTTGGAAAGCTAAGCCAGGACAATCACTTGAACCTGGGAGGCAGAAGCTTCAGTGAGTCGAGATCATGCCACTGCACTCCAGCCTGGGCAACAAGGTGAGATTCTGTCTCAAAAAAAAAGAAAACCTCTGGGACACACAGGCAGTCAGTAGATGACAAAATAATGATAAATTTTGGGTAGAGCTTAACTCTTTTCTAGAGGGTATAAACTAAGGAAAATTATTAGAATGCTCAAGAAACTGCTGTGTTAAAGTATTATCAAGCCATTTGAGTTTTTTCACATGCAATGGATGTTTTCATTCTTACTCACTTTTAAAAGCATCTTCCCACCAAGAACACTTACAAGGTAACCCTGCTAGGTTAACTTGCTACCAAATGCTAATAACGTAATATAACTTTTTTTTTGAGATAGGGTCTTATTCTGTCACCCAAGCTGGAGTGCAGCCGCATTATCACGGCTCACTGCAGCCTTAAACTCCTGAGTTCAAGCAGGAGATCTTGACAGTACCACATACCTATAGTCCTAGTTACTCAGGAGGCTGAGGCAGGAAGCTGCAGTGAGATCGATAATATTGAGAGAGACTCTGTGTGTGTGAGTGTGTGTGTGTGTGTGTGTGTGTGTGTGTGTGTGTGTATGTAGATCAGGTCTCACTATGTTTCCCAAGCTGGTCTTGAACTCCTGGGCTCAAGTGATTATCCTGCCTCAGTCTCTCATGTTTCCCAAGCTGGTCTTGAACTCCTGGGCTCAAGTGATCCTCCTGCCTCAGCCTCTCAAAATTCTGAGATCAAAGGTATGAGCCACCCTGCCCACCCTGGAATATAACAACATTTCTAAAAACCTCCTCTTCTGTTACTTCAGAACATTCATAAATTAAGATTAGATTTTCCTTCAATCAATTTAAATTACATAAATTTACATTGATTTTTTTCTTTTTCTTTTTTTTTTTTTTGAGATGGAGATTCGCTCTTGTTGTCCAGGCTGGAATGCAATGGCATGATCTCGGCTCACTGCAACTTCTGCCTCCCAGGTTCAAGCGATTCTCCTGCCTCAGGTTCCCAAGTAGTTAGGATTGGAGGCATGTAGCCCTACTCCCAGTTAATTTTGTATTTTCAGTAGAGACAGGATTTCACCATGTTGGTCAGTCTGGTCTGGAACCCCTGACCTCAGGTGATCCACCCGCCTTGGCTTTCCAAAGTGCTGGAATTACACGTGTGAGCCACTGTGCCTGACTGATTTTTCTCTTTTCTAAACAAGCATTTAATTTCAATAAAAGTATTTTTCCTGGAGTTGCCGACCTGTACGGTTGACCAGTGGTATGGACTGCTAAGTCACTACGAGGAGAAGATTTCTGTCTGATGGAAGCAAGGTACACAGGGGACAACTCCCTCCTGTTTTTTTTAAGGAGGTCACGCAACTCTACACAGTGCCTCTGCCTCAGGCTTCAAGAAGGCATACTCTGACCCTTTCATATCTCCCAGGAGAAGAAGCATAGCTTCTGCAGGTTAGGGATTACCTAAGTCCAGTTCCAGCTGGCTGAGTTATTTACTCCATGGCAGTGAGAAAGCCGTGAACAACCCTAAATTTCTTGTGTGTAAACTAGGATGAAAGCTGTTTTTGCAACAGGAATGTGGGGGATAAAATGCCTTAAGAGGTTCTGAAAAAGTTTGCTCAAGAGCATGGGACTACTGCTATTACAATGTACTGTCATAAGAGGGGATAATCAGTCCCATATTTTTTTCTAATTCATTTTTCTGTAAAGTGCACTTAGCAATCATTGTAGGTATGTTCTTTCTCCTCTTTGTGGCTCTGAGTGTTTTGTTCCTGTCACTTTCTAGGGTCAAATATTGAAAAAGGTAGGAAAAAAAAGAAAAGAAAAGAAAAGAAAAGAAATAGAGCCCTTAATGGAAGACTTCAGTTAAAAACAATCCAAGTAAACTTGCTTATAACATTGCACACAAAATTTGATGAAAATTAGAATGCTAGGATTTGAAAGTTTTATCACTTGTCTCTCGTTCTATTGTTTTCAGATGGAACTAGCTAATCTCCTACCTCTCTCCGAAGTCCAGAGTGCCTACTTTGTGTCAGCAGGCACAGTGGTAGGTGCCAAAAATACAACAGTGAACAAGTCAGTAAGGACCCTGCCTGCACAGGGCTGAAGAGAGGATAGAGAGGAGAAACAGATAATAACAGGCAGGTCTAGTTAAATTAATAATTGTGATAAGGGGTGCAAGAAAAAATAATAGAACATTAAAAATTTCAGAAACTCAGTGAACTCTTTCCTAGCAATTTCCTCACGGGGTTTCATAACCTCTGTTCATTCCTGCGATTAACAACTTTCAAAGTTAATAACTGCTTACTTCTTATTTAATAGCATTTATGCTTTTTATTCTGTTATTTTCAAGAGTGATAAAGGAAGATGGTCCTCTTTTCTTGTTGTAAGAGCCCTTCAAATATCAGTGACAGCTTCCAAATAAGATTAGTGGATATGCTTAAAACATAATGCATACCATTCATATAGCCTCAGGGTTTTTTTTGCTTTAAATTTATATAAAAAATATTGCTGAACTTTTAGAGATAAATGGCCTATACTTTCCCTACAAGGCACTAGCAACAGTTCTGATAAAATCAAAGCATTTTCAGTATTCCTAATCAAACTGATCTAATAGAAGCCCTGAGAAAAAGTGAGCTATTCATCAGTGACAAAACATCACACCACCAACAGCAATAGAAGCAACAAAATAAAAAGACAATCTACAGACTGGGAGGAAATATTTGCACACTCTACATTTTAGAAAGGGTTAATATCCGGACTATCTAAGTAACTCCTATAACTCAATAGCAGAAACCCAAACAGCCCAACTTAAAAATGAAAAAAAGAAACTGAATAGACATTGCTCAAAAGACATACAAATGGCCAACAAGTACATGAAAAGGTGCTCAACATCACTAATCTTCAGGGAAATGCAAATCAAAACCACAATGAGATATAATCTCACACCTGTTAGGATGACTATTATTTAAAACAAAAACAAAAGAAGAAATAGCAAGTACTGGCAAGGATGTAGAGAAAAAAGAACCCTTGTATACTATTGGTGGAAATATAATTAGGTGCAGCCACTATGGAAAATAATGGAGGTTTCTGAAAAAATAAAATATGGAACTCCAAAGGATTCCGTAATCCCTTATATACATCCAAAAAAATTGAAATCAGGATCTCAAAGAGATATCTGCTCTCTCATGTTCATTGCAGCATTATTCACAATAAGCAAGACATGAAAGCAATCTAAATGTTCATTGAGATGAATGCAAGAAGAAAATGCAGTATGTACACACACACACACACACACACACACACACACACACACACACACACACACTAGAACTTCTTATCAGCCTTAGGAAAGAAGGAATTTCTGGCTTAGTAGTAAAATAAGCCAGTCACAGTATATAATATATGATACCGTTTATATGAGGAACCTAAAAGAGTCAAACTCATAGAAGCAGAGAGTAGAACAGTGACTACCAAGGGCTGGGAGAAGGGAACATGAAGTGGTATTATTCATAGGACACAAAGTCTCACTTATACAAGATAAATAAGTCCTAGGGACCTACTACACAGCAGAATGCTGATAGTTAACAATATAGTACACTTTAAGAAATTGCAAGAGGGTAGCTCTTATGTTAAATATTTTTATCATAAAATATTAATAACAATAAATAAAGAAGGCAGGAGGAAACTTCTGTAGGTGATGAACAGGTTTCTGGTATAGATTACAATGATCATTTCACAGTTATTTACCTCCAAACTCATCAAGTTGTGTACATTAAATACGTACAGCTAGCTTGTCAATCATATTTCAACAAAGTGCTTTAAAAAATATCACACCACCACATGAGAAATAATGCCTTGTGCATGCAAAAATATTAATTACCTGTTTCCTTTTCTGCTGGGCCTAAAACATAAGAAAAGAGAATTTAGGAGAAAAGCAAACTCTACCCTTGTTGCTCATATAATGTAATAGGCCATTTTCTTTCTAACTTAAGTTTGATTTGGTTCTTGGTCTGGTCCTGAGAATAAAACAAAAATACCTTTTTTTTAAAGAAAAAGTAGAGGGAGAGGGAGATAATGAAAAAGCATAGAAGTTTTTCTCACCTAATGTGTAAGCATTTTGTTGTTGCTGTTTTTTAGAGAAGACTGCTCAGCATTCCTACCTGAGTGGGTTGCTAGGGTCCATTTTCCAGAATATTTTTCCGTTAGACCAGAGATATGAGAGAAGTGACTTCAGAAAAGAAAATAGGTAGGAGAATTTCCTGCTCACTGTCTTTTTGGGCTCTACCATAGGCTTTTCTCTAACACGAGCTCGTTTTTATGTGTACAAATAAAAAAAGGTTTTCTATTCACTTAAAATGAATTCTGTGGCTATAAAATACAAAGATAAAGTATACTGCATATATCTTTTCTGTATCCTTGGACAAGGTAATAGACAAAAATATTAACTCAGTTAAGAGCAAAATGATTCTTATAGGTTTTTTTTGGGTAGGGTACATAACATTTACATAAAACAATATAGTGTTTATTTAAGTTCCCACAACTTTTCTCTTTGCCATATTTGAAAGGCTTTAATATGTCTATTTTAACATCATCCCTTCCAATCTGTATCAGAATACTCAATACTCCGAAAACATGAAAATTATTTGAATAAGTATTTAAGACTGAAACTCAATATGTTTATCTTCCACTTTCCCCGAATGATCGAATGTACGTTGCTCTTGCTTTAACACAACATGATATCATAATTAATGAAGTTAAACTGGTAACTAAGGAGGTTTCATGTTGTTACTCTTGCGATATAATATTGGTTGCTATAGCGATGAGATGGCTTTTTTGTTAATCACTCAGGAGGTTGGTTATCATATGCTTGTTAGAAAGCTTGACCATATTTGGAGAGAAGAAAGGAATAATAACACAAACAATTATCAATATTTTTCCCTACCTGAATTTTGGTAAAACTATCCTAATATCAACTACTTCATAAATTTATGATTCCTTAAGTATCATTTTATATCAAAAGTTACTAAAATTTTGTAAAGGATGACTTGCTTTTATTTTCAGATAAGTATTTAACATTAACTGCAGAATTTTTTCCCTATACTAGTTAATCCTTCATGTATTATTATGTAAGCCAGTTTTATGATAATTTGAGCACAAAATTTGAGGCCTTTCTGTTACCTTTAATAATATAAATTAATGTTGTTAAATAAAACTGTTGTATAAAAGCTGATTTTGTGACTTTGCCACAAATCCAATCTATTTATTTCTAAACATTTTAAAAAAATCAGTATTCTTAATGAATAAAGCCTGAAGAAAGAAAAACAAAAAGCACAGTTTTCTCAAGAGATCTAATCTTTCAAATGCATCAATACAATGCAAGCAATTAAAAACCTGAAGGAAGTTCTATGAGTTTTTTAGCCCTCACAATAATCAACAAGTTTCTTCCTTTTTGAGTGATACTGCAGAAGAGAAAATAAAATTACATAATACTATTCTGTTACTGATCGGGAAAAAATCTGATGCCTATAGTTTAAATGTTAGACATACTTACAGTAATGCCAAAAAATACAACCCATGAAAACACCTTTTGGTTTTTTGAAAACTCAAAATAAGAACAAAGGACAACTTAAGCACGAATCCTGGGTCTTTCATTCAAGCAGAGTCCCAGGAGGCATATTAAAGCAATGAATAGGAAAAAGCTCTTCAGTTCACCAGCTGAGATTTTAATGAGACATTTCCCTTTGCCATGGCACAGGATTGTTCAGGAAAGGAAAGGACTTCTCATAGAAAATTCAGTTAATAGGCATTGTTGGCTCTCACTGCCACTTCCACAATTGCTCACTGCACTGACCTTCTATTTTGGCATATTCTGTGAGTCTAGTGTAATTGATCAAGGCAGCTTTCTCGAGACATTTTCTGACCACTTTCTTCACCTCTTCTGCTGGTATGGGAGTGGCAATATCTTTCATTAAAACCTACCGAGAGAGGAAGTAAAAGGGTGAGGGGGGCAGACAGACAGACAGACAAAAGAAAGAAGATAGGTGTTGCATAAAATAAATACTAAAGACAAATTACACAAATTGTCCTCAATCTGACTATTACTAGGAAGGGGAGAGGGGTCCTAAGTATAGTGGTGGGGAGTAATGGGTCTGCACTGCACTTCACAACTGGGGATGTAATGCTCCAACCTTAGCTCCTCCTAAGCCTAATTTATGCATATCAAAACCTCCCCTAGACCAGGTCATCATTCAGTGTGACTGTCACTTTTCTTCTAGGGACCCACGACACCATTAGAGCAGCTGTTTCAGATCAAGATTACATTTTTGAAACAAAAAATAAAGTTTGTTTTGGACATCCCTAATTTAAAAGCCTTGAATCTTTTGAGCAATATATTCAAGAACAGTAACAAAAACTCTATTAAGAATAAGCATAATCTTTGGACTCTGAAAAAAAAAATCAAGACCTCTAATCTCACTAAACTTAAATGACTGTGATTTGCTGAAAATACCATAGCAGGCTATCAAAGAGGGAGGAGAAACCCTCTTTGCTTTAGTGAAATAAATGCTGATGGAGTATTGAATGTTAAATTACACAAAAACTTTATGGTTTTGAAAAAACTGATTATTCTCTGTTGGGACCCTAACATGTGTTTTCAGACTTTTTTTTTTTTTTTTTTTAAGTTTCATTACTGGGCAAGGGGAAAATACAATTATGTCCAGGATTCAAAATGTATTTATAAACATTGTTACATTAACTCATAATTTTCTTCAAAACCTTCATAGTAATAAAACTGCTCACATTAAGTTTTAATTACACTATTAGTAAAACTATTTTCTGCATATTTATTTTTTCTTCCTTTGCTTTTATTCATATTACAAAATATATTGCAGAATGTTAATCTAGAGAAGACAATGCTTTTGTAGGTGCTCCATGTCTTTTATACTGTAAGGAATAGTGAAAGAACATGAAAACATCCATTTCATGCTGTATTATTTCATTCTGCTTTAACTCAGTCTCAGCACTAAGGATGTTATCATCCCTGACTTATTCAATCATCTAAATATCAGTGACCTTTGACAACATTTTTTAAAGGCTACTGATTTACAATATTTTAAATATTTTGTTAGGCAAGATTTTCTTTTTTGAAAATAGCAAGCTTTATCATTAAAAAAATTCTTTCTCTATAAAATTCAATTATTCTGACAAATATTTAGCACTTTAATTAAAACTGCACATTAGGCTTTGCAGCCAGAAAAATTCTTCTGTGCATAGTAAAAAACATACATGCACCATTAAATGCGATTATTCCTAAACTTTAAGATTAAGTTTGTTTCATATATAGAACCAGGAACGTTACTGTTATACTTCCCATGGTGACAAAATTTACATAATAAAAATGGTTGTTAAAATTAGAATGCATATGTCTCCCAGGTAAAATTTCATATAATCCGGGAACCAGAAACTTACTTTCTGGCAAAGTACAGGTAAAGGGCTAGCAAATGTAAAAAGGGAAATGCCAACCTTGATTTTAGGCTGCCTCCCTTGTTCTTCCAAGGTATCATAGGTTTCAAGAATTCACATGCATATTTTGTTTTACTTTTCTATGTCAGTGAGTAAAGAGACATAAAAATGAAGGAATGGTCCTTAACCTTTCTGTCTCAATTCAGCAGGAGATGTGATTAGTGACTATAACTGGAATAAAGGTCCCTGTTCATCTTGCCACCTGTCAATGCAGGGCACGAGGGCATCTCTGCTATTACTAAGTCTTCCCTGCTGGGGGGAGAAAGGAGGCTCTGCCATGGAAACCAGGACACAGAGAAGCTGTAATAGGTACCCACGATGGGATGTTGTTCCAAAAAATAAAGCAATACTTAAATATTTTATTTTATCTATAATACCTTAATGAATAGGATGACAGAAATACTTTGAAAAATCTGAGTTATGTGCAGCTTTCATTATAAAAATTCTAATAAAACATAATTACTACAATCATATTTCCATCACACAATGCACAATAATCAGGGATAAGACAGGGATATAAAAATAAAATAAATCTGTAATCCTAAGATCTCATTTTAATCATCAGTCCTAGCCCTCATCTCCCAAGTTCTTAAATCACTGAAATGGAGATGTAATATTTGAATAATGTCTTCTCTCTTTGCTTTTTAATAGAGATGCTAATAAACAATATCGTATCTAAAATTAATTCGGCAGAAAGTGGACAAGAGCAAGTGCTAGAAGTCAATAAATCAGGATCATGATAATCAAATTATGAGCTACAGATGAGTCTAGAAATTTGTTTTAATTCTGGTAAGAAACAGGAGTTGACGACATTATTTAACTGTTAGCATCTAACAAGTATACTAATAAATTTATAGGCAGATAAAAAAATACTGCTCTTTGAAACTTCAATTGTGATAAAAATAGAAACAGAGAATATATATTCTTTAAAAAATAACTTTTTCACCTGGATTTAAAATCTTGTCTGCTGGTTATTTTGGAGGGGAGAAATATTTTGGAGATTTCTATAATGTGTGAATTCATTCAAGGTAACACACACATTGGAGTAATAGAAAGAAATTCTGTGATGAATGCTGATGAAAGAAATGATATGTTTGTGAATGGTAAATGATAAACTTGTTGGCATGAGGACTATGACAGGTACTAGAAGTACAAATAAAGTTGGAGGACAATGAAAGACAACTGTGAAGTCCAAAAAGCAAGAAAAAAGAGTATTTCATGAGGGAAATAAAGAGGTAGAAAAAATGAATACTACCAAAAAGATGCTGTAATATGAGGATAGGATGGCAGTGTTCAGACAGGCTTCAGGCTTCAGAAAGGCTTCAGGGAGAACGAAGTGCTATAGACAGAATCTGAATGTAGTAAGAAAAGGTAAGAAACCCATGAAATATGATGGAATCAGTAGAGAGTATAGCCTAATGGGTTCTGTCTCCCTAGTTCAATAACTAAAGTACACAGCAACTGAGAATGCAAATAGTATTTATAAAGTAATGTTCAAACATACCCTTTCAAGTAATGAAAGTGTAGCTTTTAGAGCACCTTCAGGTCGTCCAAAGGGAAAACAGTATCTTTAAAAACAAAAGAAAGAACAATAGTCAAACATTTAATACCCAAGACTGCAAAATAATTCCTGCTTATATTTATTGGCATTAATGGAGAACCATGAAACAAACTGAAAATATTTTAGCATCAACTCATCCAGGGAAATTTTAACTGTTAAAAGTTTACCTAACCCTAGGATTTCAATGTCTTAAACAATAAAGGCATAAGCTGTGATGAAAAAGATTCTGCACATTTTGATGATACATGTTTTAAACAAATACAGTAAAGAAAAGAACCTCAAGGGTCATGACTAAAGCAATAATATGCATTCTCCAATAATTTCCTGTTTAAGAATTGTTATTCAAGTTCTAAGAGAAAATGAACTTTCTCTCCCACTTTCTCCTACGGCTATGTGTGGCTTAGGGTGGGCACATACACCACAAGAAGATTCCAGCTCTTCCCTTTGCTGACATTTTCCTGTCTACCATGGTGTCTAACTTTTCCATCTCCCCATACAATACACATATACCCTCTGCAGTTCTTTTGTCTGCAGTCATTTGTCCCAAGTATTTCTAGTCCTACGTATTCCTGTTGCACACCAACAAATGGAGGGCAGGTCATGGGGATGTTCTGAAAGCAATGCCAGACAGGCTGGAGAGTGAGTGGGCTACTCAGAATTTCATTGCCACATGATGGTAACAGGTTTATTGCTCTTCACCAGGGCATCCTTCTTCAGGTCAATTTCCACCGAAACAATACTGAACATCAGGGCCATTTTATCTTTTTGGAGCTCCTTGTTTTATTGAACAAGATTCAGCAAAGCACCCTCTCCCAGGACTGCAGTTCCCACCCCAGGATCAAGTGCTAGAGGCAGCTGGGCTGTCTTTAAGATGCCACCCTGCTCTGACTTAGAAATCTGCAATCTAATAACTTGGAAAGAAGTTTACGTATCTCCATATCCTCTTGCACAATTCAGGAACTTAGTGGACATATTTTCTCAGATATAATTAATAATAAAATTATGTTTCTCACACTGTAATTTAAACATATTTCCCCCAAAAGCAAATATGTTACATCTAAGTTTTAAAGAAAAAAGTGATTGACTTCTCCTTTTAAAACAAAGCAGTTTAATTTATATTAGAATTGAATTTTATATTCATGAAACGTTCACTAGTTTCACACGGATGCAAATAAATGTTATATAAATCCAGTCACTCAAGTTTTATTTAACAGAATATTTCATTTATCATTGTATTTACTGCTAAAAAATGTTCTCTCTTAATCTTGCTGCCATGTACTCTGCTACCCTACACCCACAGGCACAAAAAAAGCCATAACCAATTTATTTTGATAGTTTCTCGATAGTTTCTCCTGTGCAGTGATGCTTTTAAGAGCATTAGCAAATTAGCAAAGTACCTTTAATCATTTTGTATACTATAAACCTTAATCCATGCTTAAATAAAACACAAATTGAGTTCTTGTAGTCCCCTCCCCCTGCTTAATCTTTTCAGTGTATTTGCATAATCCATCCATTGTCTTTCCTATTGTTTATTTCCATTAACCTGTGGGTGACACATTTTATGAATGGAATGTTACAGATCCCCAGATTACATTTAGCATTTCAGGGCTCTGAGGTCCCACTGGGTATGTTCTAAATTAGCATTAGCTGCCCATGATGTGTAAATAATTCAACACATTTACAGAGTACAAGTAATCCTGAATCAATAAAGTACAGAAAATAACTGCATAGAAGCTTAATTAATCTTTACAAAACAAGTTTTAAAAGAAGAGAATCATTTTGTTCTTCCTTTCAGGCTAAATATTTTGGGTTTTTACCATTCTGGCAGCTCTATAACAGCAACACAAAGTAGAAAACATTCAATTAGCAAATAAAATTCAGCCACATTTTATACATAACATGAATAAACTGAAGTCACCCTTATTCGTGCTTTGGTAAATTAATTGTACAGATAAATAAACTAGCACAGATTTGTCTTATAATTAAGCCCTTTTTGTTTTCTACCTATTTTTTAAATAATTTTTTTTTCACTAAAGTGATATATGCACATAAAGAGGAAACTTCTTTTGTTTTTCTAAATGAAAACCAGAAATCCTTTATGTCAGTTCCAGTTTCTGCTTTCTATAAAAAAAACAAATGCTGTCAACATTTAGCTGGTTCTTTGGTATTTAAACTTTATATCCCTCAGTTATACATTAATATGTTTACTTCTTGATTTTTCCATTTTAAATATTATCTTACTAACTTTCCACCATGGAAGAGAAGTACATAGCTTTTATTTGTTTCAGGAGCTGAATATATTTAAAATATATAGTTAAGTTTTGACATATGTGTATACTTGTGAAAGCATCATTATAATCATGTTAATTAACAGCCTACAAGTGTTCCGCTGAGACCACAGGCAACTACTCATTTCCTTGCTGTAATTTGGATTAGTTTGTATGTCTAGAATTTTATGTAAGAGGAAATATACAGTATTTACTTTTGTGAGTCTGGTTTCTTTCACTTGGCATAGTTTTTTTGATATTTATTCATGCTGTTGTACATATCAAGAGTTCATTCTTTTTACTGGTGGGTAGTATTCTATTGCATGGAATACACTGTGTATCTATTCCTTGCTGAGGGTCATTTGGCTTTCATAGTTTGGTTACTATGAATAATGTTGGTATGAACAATCATATAAAAGTCTGTGTGTGGACACATGCTTCCATTTCTCTTGGGAAAATACCTAGGAATGGAATGGCTGGATCATATCATAAGTGTTTAATTTTTTTTAAGGATACTCTTTTATTAAGGAAAATAAAAGCTATATAGTCTCAAGCAAATGAATAAACCTATATAAATGCTTGTTTATTGAATGGTTACTCTGTGCCAGAAATTCAGATCAATAAACTGAGGCTTAGAATGGTTGAAAATGTTTAAAAGTACCTGGCTTTTAAGTGTTTAAATTTTTAAGAATCTGCCAAACTATTTTTCAAAGTGGGTTCTAGCATTTTATAGTCCTATCAACAGCATATGAGTTCCAGTTTCTCTACAACTGTGTCAACACTTGATATGTTCAGTTTTTGTTTTGTTTTGAATTTTAACTATACCACTAGATATACAGTGGTACCTAACTGTGGTTTCAAATTGTAATTCCCTATTGAATAATGATGCAGAGCATCTTTCCATATGCCTTTTTGCTACAATATTCCTTTGGTGAAATATCTGTTAAAACAATTTTTTAAATTGGGTTAATTTTTTATAATTAAATTTTAAAAATTTTATATATTCTGAATAAAAGTTTACTGTGGGATATGCACTGTCTAAATATTTTCTCCCACTCTATGACTTATCTTTTTATTCTAACAATGTATTTGGAAAATCAAAAGTTCTCAATTTTGAGGAAGTTTAAGGTGACAATTTTTCCATTCATGAGTTATGATTCTAGTGTTTTATTTAAGATTCTTTGCCTAGCCCAAAGACACAGATTTTTCTCTCAAGTTTTCTAGGTCTACCTATTTTGAGTTAACTTTTGTATTATGGGTGAGGTATGGATTGAGATCAATAGTTTTCATTGGAATATCCAATAGTTCCAGTACCATCCGTCAGAAAAAAGTATACTTTGCAAATTGCCCTTGCACATTCACTGAAAATCAACAGACCATATATGTGTGTGAGTCTACTTCTGGAATTTCAATAGCATACTAACTTGATTACTGTAGCATTATAAACATTGAAATCAGTGTTAACATTCCAATGTTATCCTTTTTAAAAGTTATTTTGGGTCTGGCATGGTGTAATCCCAGCACTTTGGGAGGCTGAGTTGGGTGGATCACTTGAGGTCAGGAGTTAGGAACCAGCCCGGCCAACACAGTGAAACCTTGTCTCTACTAAAAATACAAAAAATTAGCCAGACATGGTGGCAGGCACCTGTAATCCCAGCTATTTGGGAGGCTGAAGCAGGAGAATCGCTTGAACCCTGGAGGTAGAGGTTGCGGTGAGCTAAGATCACGCCACTGCACTCCAGTCTGGGCAACAAAAGTGAAGCTCCGTCTCAAAAAAAAAAAATATTTTGGCTATAGTAAATACTTTGTATTTACATATAATTCCTAGTATCAAGTTAATTTCTAAAAAAAAAAAAAATCATACTGGGATTTTGACTGAAATAGCCTTGGATCCATAGGTCAATTTAAAGAGGATTGACAATAATATTGAGTCTTCTGACCCATAAAGTATAGTATCTCTCCTTCTATTTAGGCTTTCTTTAATTTTTTTCAGCAATAGTTTATTCAGTGTACAGGTTTTACATATCTTTCATCAGGTTGATCCTGAAGTATTTTGTATTTTTGTTGCTATTGTAAATATTATTTAATTTAAATTTCTGATTGCTGTCAGTATATAGAAATAAATTAATATTTATATATTCATCACAGGGTGTGGTGGCTCATGCTTGTATTCCCAGGATTTTGGGAGGCCCAGGCAGGAGGATCTCTTGAGCCCAAGATTTAAGAGTAGCCCTGGGCAACATAGGGGATCCCATCTCTGTAAAAGAAAATATTATGTGTGCACGGTAGTATGTGCCTGTGATCCCAGCTACTTGGGATGCTGAGGTGGGAGGATCACTTGAGCCTGGGAGGTTGAGGCTGCAGTGAGCAGTGATCACACCACTCCATTCCAGTCCTGAGACAGGGCAACACAGTAAGACCCTGTTTCAAAAAAAAATTTAATCTAGGATTTTGCAACTTCAATATTAGGTAGAATTTTTTAGATTCTATAAGATTTTTCTACTCAGATAATCATGTTACCTACCAATAAAGATAGTTTTGATTCTTCTTTCCAATTTGGATGACTTTAAAAAATCAATTTTTTTCAGAATCAATGCACTGGCTAGACCATTGGTATAATTTTGAACTGAAGTAGTGACAGCAGATATCCTTGCCTTGTTTTTGATCTTAGGTAGAAAACATTCAGTCTTTTACCATTAAGTATGTTAGCCATAGGTCTATCATACATGCCCTTAACTGG